ACAACAGCTACCACCAGGGATAAAACTCAGCAGACCCTTAGCCTGATGATCTGGGCTTTGCTGATGAAATTTCTCTTCTATCCCATTCTCAAATTTAGATACACAAAAAATTAAAACATACTTGATAAGAGATCACAACAACCAGATCTAATAATCTATAAAGAAAAAACAAAGATAATGAGAATAATCCAGGCAAATAAAAATCCAATTAGTCTTGGTGAAGTTGATTTCAAGATGTGGTAGTAACATAGGCAGAAATGTGGAGAAAGAAATGGGGGAAACACATTAGAAAAATATAACTAGATTCTTTGTGCACAGGAACCCACAAGGGACACACTCATACGGGACTATTTAAAAAAAAATGGGAGCTGAACAGTGAAGTTAAAAAGATGGGAAAAACAGGGAGTGCATACAATAGCCAAAGATAGGATGACATGGTGTCAGCTGGTTGAGGGCCCATGCTCCATTGGAGTAATAAAGGGCGGCAACGGCAGCAGCGGAAGAAGAAGAAGAAGCATGAAATTGATTCTTTCAACTTTTAACCCTTTAGGAACAAGACAGAGCTGTAGTAAACTAGGTATGAACAATCAACAGAAAAATTAATCTAACATTAAAACAAACAAAAAACAGCACCAAGATAATGATGACTGCAGGTATCAGAAAGAACAAAACAACCACAAAACAATATGATTTTCAAAGTAACACAAACTGGGAAAAACAAAAACATTTTACTAATACCTGAGCAGTCAGCTGCTCCGAATGTTTTGAAAAAACATTGTATTGTATATATTTGTTTTATAACTCATTGAGGCATTTTGAAATCTTCAAAGATGGTTGCTGCTTCAATTCACTTTTGTATTCAAACATATATATATATATTTTTTTTTTCAGAGACAACAACACATGGTCTTTACAACAGTACCCAGGTTTTGTTGCAAAGAGAGAAGGTACTTTTTCCCCGGCGGCCTGAAATAACCATCGCCATAAGCTGTGGTTCCCACACCTCAACATTGCATAATAAAACACTATTGTCTAATACAGAAAAGTGCCAAATAGAAAAAAAAAAGCACCTAATCTGGATGATTTAGCAGGCAACAGTTAAACTGAGACTGGCTACTGAACCTTCCCGTGTTGGTTCTGGGACCCCATTTTGGGGGAACAAAGAACAGACCCACCGTAATGAGCCTTAGCCACACATGACTAAGTTACACCTGGCTGGGGTAACCTTTGCAGGCGCCGTAAGTATAACTTTTTCTGGGAGGCTGAACAGGGAGGGTATCTGCTTTGTTGGTCTGCCATCTAGACTGGATGTCTTAATCTCAGGATGGGTATGGTAGACCTTTAGGAAGCAGCTCAGAGGGGCCAAACTGATCGATTGATCAGTGGACTAAGTGCCTCCCCAACAAACATGTTGTAAAAGGCAACTAATTATGGGTGTTTCCTTCAAAGTCTGAAAGCATCTGCCTGACAGACGAGGAACCAACAGTCTGCACACAAATAAGCCAGATCTTTAAAATAAAATAAGCATGCAGAACAAACTTATCTTCTAGAACAATCCCAAAGTCCAGACATGGCCGAACAACCAGAACTTACAAACTGAGTTTAAAGATGGTGAGCATAAAAAAAAGAACAAGAAGAGGAAGAATAATAAAACTAGGTACAAAATCTAAGCAATCATGACCAAGCTAACAAAATGTTTGGTCATGTGCTGATTGAAAGCCTGCGCTTCCTCAGAGAATACATACTGTGCCATCTCCACAATGTAAGTTTTCTACACTGTCCCATCGCTGAGTATGGGAATAATGAATGGTGAGGCCACAGTGTAACTCTCATACTATTTCTTTTTACAGTCTGTGGCACTGGTAGTCAGGTCTATCCAAACCCTTCTGTCTCATATACTTTTAATCAATTCTGACACAGATGATCTTCCATGATGTCAAACTGTCCAGCCTCTTCTCTCCTAGTCTCCTAAATGTTCAAAAATCACAATGTACTCCAGTTTTCTCCTCATAACCCAACCAAATAATGTAGATTTATCCCCTTCTGGTTTGGGCAATCAGTTCTCTTCAAGAGTCATTTCTTTCTAGACGTCATTCTCATCATGACTCTCACACTACTGTCACAAAACTGAGAATTCTTTTTTTTGTTTTTGTTTAAATAAATCATCCACTGCAAAAACTGAAGTACCGAAGGATCTAGTACCAAAGGATCATGAAACTGTTTAAGGCATTCACTAATACTAAGTACTAGAGCCACACTGGGAAAAGAAAGGCATGAGAAGAACTGAGAGATACAAAATTAGAAAGAGAATACAAACTTTTTCTGCCTTTCTAGTTCCAATGGAGCATTTGCCCTCAACCAACTCACACCAAGTCGTTCTATCCTTTGCTATTGCATGCAGCTCTTCTCATGTCCTCCCCATCTTTTTTAACTCCACTCTCTAGCTTCCTTCTCCATGTGTGTTTTCGGTCTTTATTTATTTATACGCCCCAGTGGGTTTCATTTTAAAGACATTCTAGTTATATTGTTCTCAGGTTTTCTCAGCACGTTTCCTATCCAACGCCAGTGTCTTTTCTTCACCTCCTGGTCATTGAAATTTGTTGAATTCTCTTATAAAGCACCACATTAGTGATGCTATCATACCGTTTAATTCCCTCTATTCTGCGCAGGCACCAGTTAATGAATGTTTGAACTAGAGGAATATCTCAATAAGAATCAACTTCTCACATCTACATGTGTCCTTGTACACACAGGACAGCAGGTTACACCTGGCTGGTGGTAGAGTTAGAGGTGTCCTTGTACACACAGGACAGCAGGTTACACCTGGCTGGTGGTAGAGTTAGAGGTGTCCTTGTACACACAGGACAGCAGGTTACAGCTGGCTGGTGGTAGAGTTAGAGGTGTCCTTGTACACACAGGACAGCAGGTTACACCTGGCTGGTGGTAGAGTTAGAGGTGTCCTTGTACACACAGGACAGCAGGTTACACCTGGCTGGAGGTAGAGTTACAGGTGTCCTTGTCCACTCGGGACTGCAAGTCACACATAGCTGGTGGTAGTTACAGGTGTCCTTGTCCACTCGGGACTGCAGATTACACCTGGCTGGTGATAGAGTTACAGGTGTCCTTGTCCACACAGGACTGCAGGTCACACCTGGCTGGTGGTAGAGTTACAGGTGTCCTTGTCCACACACAGGACTGCAGGTTACACCTGGCTGGTGATAGAGTTACAGGTGTCCTTGTACACACAGGACTGCAGGTCACACCTGGCTGGTGGTAGAGTTACAGGTGACCTTGTATACAAAGGACTGCAAGTTACACCTGGCTGGTGATAGAGTTACAGGTGTCCTTGTCCACACAGGAATGTAAGTCACACCTGACTGGTGGTAAAGTCACAGGTATTCTTGTTAAAATAGAACTGCAAAGTTACACCTGGCTTGTGGTAGAGTTACAGGTGTCCTTGTACACACAGGGCAGCAGGTTACACCTGGCTGGTGGTAGAGTTACAGGTGTCCTTGTCCACACACAGGACTGCAGGTTACACCTGGCTGGTGGTAGAGTTACAGGTGTCCTTGTACACACAGGACTGCAGGTTACATCTGGCTGGTGGTAGAGTTACAGGTGTCCTTGTCCACACACAGGACTGCAGGTTACATCTGGCTGGTGGTAGAGTTACAGGTGTCCTTGTCCACACACAGGACTGCAAGTTACACCTGGCTGGTGGTAGAGTTACAGGTGTCCTTGTACACACAGGACTGCAAGTTACACCTGGCTGGTGATAGAGTTACAGGTGTACTTGTACACACAGGACTGCAGGTCACACCTGGCTGGTGATAGAGTTACAGGTGTCCTTTTACACACACGACTGCAGGTTACACCTGGCTGGTGGTAAAGTTACAGGTGTCCTTGTACACACAGGACTGCAATTTACACCTGACTGGTGGTAGAGTTACAGGTGACCTTGTATACAGAGGACTGCAAGTTACACCTGACTAGTGGTAGAGTTACATGTGTCCTTGTACACACAGGACTGCAATTTACACCTGGCTGGTGATAGAGTTACAGGTGTCCGTGTCCACACAGGAATGCAAGTCACACCTGGCTGGTGGTAAAGTTACTTACAGGTGTCCTTGTACACACATGACTGCAGGTTACAGCTGGCCGGTGGTAGAGTTACAGGTGTCTTTGTACACACAGGACTGCAGGTTACAGCTGGCTAGTGGTAGAGTTACAGGTGTCCTTGTACACACAGTACTGCAAATTACACCTGGCCGGTGGTAGAGTTACAGGTGCCCTAATTATAACTTCTTTGCAGAATGAACATGGTATCTGAGATCTGCTTTGTTGGTCTACCATCCAGATTCAAATTATTTAGCAGCCCAGTCGATTGATCTCTTATCATGTTTGTAAAATTAGGAATTAAAACTAAGCTCATCCAACACTACATGTACAACCAACCAATCATGTTTGGCACATAATTATGGACAAAGAATTTTAATGTGCAACTGAAATTTCTTTCTTTCTATCCAGCCACAACCTATTCCATAATTTAGGTGAACTTTTGTGTCCACACTGATTGATGCTAAATGAAGTGAAAAAAAGAGGAGAGTTATAAGTTAATGTGGAAAGGATTGACTTCGCTGCCAAGGTTATCATTGAGGACTCTAACTAGCTGCAAGCAGACAGCAGCTCCAGCAACAAAACTAGCTGCAAGCAGACAGCAGCTCCAGCAACAAAACTAGCTGCAAGCAGACAGCAGCTCCAGCAACAAAACTAGCTGCAAGCAGACAGCAGCTCCAGCAACAAAACTAGCTGCAAGCAGACAGCAGCTCCAGCAACAATCTCCAGGGTTCTCAATAAACATTCGACTCACAAACTCAGCCAGCATCAATTAAACAAACCCATGACTTTCAGAGTGCAAAGCAAATGACTTGTGAGGATATCACCAAAAAGACCCCAGAAAGAGGAGGAGGAGAAGACAGTGAAAGAAATGCTTTACTGACCTGATCAGGCTGTTTGCTCTTTGATGCAATGACCAGGAAACTCCTCTGAGCATCAAATGCTTCCTTCACCAGACCAGCCTATGAATATACAAACAATGCAAGGGTCATTAACTTTCAGTGCAAAGATCATGAATTTTTAGTGCATCAGTCATATCTGAATATCTCTTTCTGGCCTGCCTCAGAACCTACTCTAATTCAATTCTGTTGTATGCACAGTTTTTGTTGTGTTATCTGCCATTCTTTCTATATGCTCCAATCACAGTCTATTAGTTCTTCATGGTGCCGGCAATTAGGGGTGGTTTAAAGAGACGATTAATTTCCCTGCTACTCCCTCTCTATTGTCTGCACCTTTGATGGGGCCAAAAATTCATCCAAAGACTGTTTTCAAAAGTTTGTAATTATCTCTTTTCATCTCTTTTATTTGTAATCCAGGTTTGAGCATCACATAGGATCTCTTCAAAATTGTATATATTGTGATCTTGGTGTTACAAGACAGAGCATCTGATTTCAGCAGATGCTGTAGGGCACACCTTGGTAGTAGGACCCTCTTCCATGTCTTCAGATGCATGCGGCATACGGGGACTTATATTTTATTGACAAATCAGCATTTGATAGGTGATGTGGTCAAAATAAGGGCGGCCGTCTTTACTTCCCAGGACTTTACCTGGTATACATTTGAAGTTGGGTCAACCTGGGTGCCAAGGTCATTTTTGGAAAAAGTCAGGCTCCAACACAACTCACTACCTTCAGATCCGCTGGTGAGCATCTGGTTGCGATACCATGGCGGCTCCCATTGTAGGGTATAGAATACATTATTTCTACTTGCAGAGTGTATTTCTTCTCTCAGTATGCTGAAGCAGTTAAAGTTTGTAACCAAGTATTCTTCTCTCCGTATGCTGAAGCAGTTAAAGTGTGTACCTAATTATTCTTCTCTCAGTATGCTGAAGCAGTTAAAGTTTGTAACCAAGTATTCTTCTCTCAGTATGCTGAAGCAGTTAAAGTTTGTAACCAAGTATGCTTCTCTCAGTATGCTGAAGCAGTTAAAGTGTGTACCTAATTATTATTCTCTCAGTATGCTGAAGCAGTTAAAGTTTGTAACCAAGTATTCTTCTCTCAGTATGCTGAAGCAGTTAAAGTTTGTAACCAAGTATTCTTCTCTCAGTATGCTGAAGCAGTTAAAGTGTGTACCTAATTATTCTTCTCTCAGTATGCTGAAGCAGTTAAAGTTTGAAACCAAGTATTCTTCTCTCAGTATGCTGAAGCAGTTAAAGTTTGTAACCAAGTATTCTTCCCTCATTGTAGCAGTTAAAGTTTGTAACCAAGTATGCTTCTCTCAGTATGCTGAAGCAGTTAAAGTGTGTACCTAATTATTCTTCTCTCAGTGCAGCAGTTAAAGTTTGTAACCAAGTATTCTTCTCTCGTATGCTGAAGCAGTTAAACGTTTGTAACAGTCTCTCCGTATGCTGAAGCAGTTAAAGTGTGTACCTAATTATTATTCTCTCAGTATGCTGAAGCAGTTAAAGTTTGAAACCAAGTATTCTTCTCTCAGTATGCTGAAGCAGTTAAAGTTTGTAACCAAGTATGCTTCTCTCAGTATGCTGAAGCAGTTAAAGTTTGTAACCAAGTATTCTTCTCTCAGTATGCTGAAGCAGTTAAAGTTTGTAACCAAGTATTCTTCTCCCAGTATGCTGAAGTAGTTAAAGTTTGTAACCAAGTATTCTTCTCTCAGTATGCTAAAGCAGTTAAAGTTTGTAACCAAGTACTTGTACGTTTCTGTTCCTATGCCGACCGGTCTATAAAAAATATGGATCTGTCCCCATAAGCCTGATGTGTCACTAGCACAAATAAAGTATTCTACTTAATTCTAAACACGTGTCATTGGTCATCTTGCCTGTCCACAGCCTTCTGTTTTGTGTTCTGCCAAAATATGTCACTGATAGTCCTTCTGAAACAGTGTGACTTTATGCTACAATGAGACTGAGTAAATGGTGAGCGGTCTGTTGCTACAAAACTGCTGGTGCCTTATGTGATTAATCGTGTGTGCAACTACTGATCTGTTGTAACTGCAGCTTTCACTGACGATAAACTCCATTTCTAGTGTCTATTTGTGTTGGCACTCCTGACAGCTACCTCATGCACTGAATGCATGTGTATGCTATTGGATTTGCTGAGACTGCAGTCTGTGTCAATTTTTCCACAAGAGACAGTGACGGACATTCTGTGTGGTTTTCTTTGGCACACAAATATGGTGAGACCCACTCGTTATTCAGTTGGAAATGCGATTACCTGATGCTGCAGTTATCTGTGTATATGTGTATGTGCATCACAGAGTACATACCTGAATCTTCACATCTCCTCCAATGTCACTGGACAGAGAGAGAAACTTGGCCAATGGACCAGAAAGTATGTCATCGTAGGCAACTACATAGGGTGACACAGCATCTGCAAAACAAAATAATCAAAAAGTCTTAACAACTGAATGATCAAAAATTATTATTTTTATAACTGTATGATAAAAAATTCTAATTTCCATAACATCCAATTACAGAATGGTCAAAAACACAACTTGCGGTTTTGTTTTCTAAAATGCACATACATATATTCATATACGCTCCTTGAAATAAAGTTTAAACACAGAATGGCTTACAAATTTAATGGTCAAAAACACACTTCTGCAACATGGTCTACAAAGAGAATGTGTAAAAACAAACTACTTGAAACAAAGTCAATATGGGGAATAGTTAAAAACAGACAGAATAATTAAAACCCACATGCCTTGAAACAAGGTCTTTATAGGGAATAGTTAAAAACAGACAGAATAATTAAAACCCACATGCCTTGAAACAAGGTCTATATAGGGAATAGTTAAAAACAGACAGAATAATTAAAACTAACATGCCTTGAAACAAGGTCTATATGGGGAATAGTTAAAAACAGACAGAATAATTAAAACCCACATGCCTTGAAACAAGTTCTAAACAAATGGTTGTCATGAAACAGTTGTTTTCCCTCTGACTACACACTGTCTGCTGGCCCCTAATTGCATGCCTGGTCCAATGAGATTAGAACACTACAAAAGTCTAATTTTTGCCCACAAACCTTGATCAGTTGTGGACAGACATGACTACCAACGCCACATGGCATGGACTTTCAGAAAAAGAACCTTGATCCACTTCTATCCAGGTCTAGTTATTTTCCTCATGCATGCAAAGATGTCTAACTGTGCCTCCTGCTTGCGTCACCCAAGACTTTCCTCTTATTAGCATGTGCAGCTCTTAGCTGTTACCAGGTGTTTCTTGCCCGTGAGTGCTGTGAGCTATGATCTTGCCTGCAGTACCTGAGTCTGCCTCAAGGATGCACTGCATATGGACTACTAAGGCATCTCTTGTAACCCACTAGGCATAATTCTGTATGCGTTTAAATGTCACTAGCTGACTCTTTCAAACAGGGAGCAGACCCAGTCCATAGACCATCAATGAGATGATAAAGTGCTGATACTTCATGAGCCTCACTGATACTTCACGAACCTCCCTGATACTTCATGAACCTCCCTGATACCTCATGAACCTCAATGATACTTCATGAGCGTCATTGATACTTCATGAACGTCAGTGATACTTCATGAACGTCAGTGATACTTCATGAACCTCAGGGATACTTCATGAACCTCAGTGATACTTCATGAACATCACTGATACTTCATGAACCTCAATAACAGTTCATGAACCTCACTAACACTCATTGATACTTAGGGAGGAAGGGGAACACTGCTTGAAAACAGAGAGCCTCACGTACAATGTCACTACATCCTGTGTAAGAATGGAGGTGGAGGCAGTAACAACAGCTATCTGATGGCTTGAGAGCAGCATAGTCCAACATGTTGCAATTGTAACAGACACACACACAGCAGGCTTTAAAAACTGAAACTGGTGTCCTGTACGCGAAGTGCCTTGCATTACTTGATAAGACCCTGATCAAGAGTGTATCACAGATTTTCTCTCCACAACATTTTGGTAACGACCAGCCTGATAGTTTAGCGACCAGCCTGATAGTTTAGCGACCAGCCTGATAGTTTAGCGACCAGCCTGATAGTTTAGCGACCAGCCTGATAGTTTAGCGACCAGCCTGATAGTTTAGCGACCAGCCTGATAGTTTAGCGACCAGCCTGATAGTTTAGCGACCAGCCTGATAGTTTAGCGGCCAGCCTGATAGTTTAGCGACCAGCCTGATAGTTTAGCGACCAGCTTGATAGTTTAGCGACCAGCCTGATAGTTTAGCGACCAGCTTGATAGTTTAGCGGCCAGCCTGATAGTTTAGCGACCAGCATGATAGTAGTTTAGCGACCAGCCTGATAGTTTAGCGACCAGCCTGATAGTTTAGCGGCCAGCTTGATAGTTTAGCGGCCTGCCTGATAGTTTAGCGGCTTGCCTGATAGTTTAGCGGCCTGCCTGATAGTTTAGCGGCCAGCCTGATAGTTTAGCGACCAGCCTGATAGTTTAGCGACCAGCCTGATAGTTTAGCAACCAGCCTGACAGTTTAGCGACCAGCCTGACAGTTTAGCGACCAGCATGATAGTTTAGCGGCCAGCCTGATAGTTTAGCGTCCAGCATGATAGTAGTTTAGCGACCAGCATGATAGTTTAGCGACCAGCCTGACAGTTTAGCGACCAGCCTGATAGTAGTTTAGCGACCAGCCTGACAGTAGTTTAGCGACCAGCATGATAGTAGTTTAGCGACCAGCATGATAGTAGTTTAGCGACCAGCATGATAGTAGTTTAGCGACCAGCCTGATAGTAGTTTAGCGACCAGCCTGATAGTAGTTTAGCGACCAGCCTGATAGTAGTTTAGCGACCAGCATGATAGTTTAGCGACCAGCATGATAGTTTAGCGACCAGCCTGATAGTAGTTTAGCGACCAGCATGATAGTTTAGCGACCAGCCTGATAGTAGTTTAGCGACCAGCCTGATAGTTTAGCGACCAGCCTGATAGTTTAGCGACCAGCCTTATAGTAGTTTAGCGACCAGCATGATAGTTTAGCGACCAGCCTGATAGTTTAGCGACCAGCCTGATAGTTTAGCGACCAGCCTGATAGTTTAGCGACCAGCCTGATAGTTTAGCGGCCAGCCTGATAGTTTAGCGGCCAGCCTGATAGTTTAGCGACCAGCCTGATAGTTTAGCGACCAGCTTGATAGTTTAGCGACCAGCCTGATAGTTTAGCGACCAGCTTGATAGTTTAGCGACCAGCATGATAGTAGTTTAGCGACCAGCCTGATAGTTTAGCGACCAGCCTGATAGTTTAGCGACCAGCCTGATAGTTTAGCGGCCTGCTTGATAGTTTAGCGGCCTGCCTGATAGTTTAGCGGCTTGCCTGATAGTTTAGCGGCCTGCCTGATAGTTTAGCGGCCAGCCTGATAGTTTAGCGACCAGCCTGATAGTTTAGCAACCAGCCTGACAGTTTAGCGACCAGCCTGACAGTTTAGCGACCAGCATGATAGTTTAGCGGCCAGCCTGATAGTTTAGCGACCAGCATGATAGTAGTTTAGCGACCAGCATGATAGTTTAGCGACCAGCCTGACAGTTTAGCGACTAGCCTGATAGTAGTTTAGCGACCAGCCTGATAGTAGTTTAGCGACCAGCCTGATAGTAGTTTAGCGACCAGCATGATAGTAGTTTAGCGACCAGCCTGATAGTAGTTTAGCGACCAGCCTGATAGTAGTTTAGCGACCAGCCTGATAGTAGTTTAGCGACCAGCCTGATAGTAGTTTAGCGACCAGCATGATAGTTTAGCGACCAGCCTGATAGTAGTTTAGCGACCAGCATGATAGTTTAGCGACCAGCCTGATAGTAGTTTAGCGACCAGCCTGATAGTTTAGCGACCAGCCTGATAGTTTAGCGACCAGCCTTACAGTAGTTTAGCGACCAGCATGATAGTTTAGCGACCAGCCTGATAGTAGTTTAGCGACCAGCCTGATAGTAGTTTAGCGGCCAGCCTGATAGTAGTTTAGCGACCAGCATGATAGTTTAGCGACCAGCCTGATAGTAGTTTAGCGACCAGCATGATAGTTTAGCGACCAGCCTGATAGTTTAGCGACCAGCCTGATAGTTTAGCGACCAGCATGATAGTTTAGCGACCAGCATGATAGTTTAGCGACCAGCATGATAGTTTAGCTGCTGCGGTGAGCTACTACATGATAAAACGGATGCGGTGAAGGCTTTATGGGATCAAATGGACAGTGCAAAGAACAGACAGTGAATCCATACACAGAAAGACTAATTCAATGAGGCAGGTGGATGAAGTAGAGGTTCTGAGGCAGACTTTTTATCAGGTTGCAACTGGGACTGTTAGCACGTTAACTTTTTGTTGGTTACTGAAAAAGAAGAAGGAGCACGAACTTTTGCCCTAAGTAAACACTGTTGAATGCCCCTGCATGATTCTATACAATTTACATCACACTGCTGGTTCCCCTCAGGAAGCATGTCTTAAAAGTCAACTAATTAAAGGCTTGCTGCAATAGGTTGTTTTGGGCTGAAATGCAGTTATTCATCTAGTTGCAAACCACAATACGGCGCGAAGATGAAAAAGAAAAAATGAAGTAAAATAAACATGAAGAACGAGGAGGATGAGAAGCATAAGTAGAAGGAGAAAAAGAAGGAGGAGGAGGAGAAGGAAAAAACATGCAGCAAAAACCATACCTGAATCACCAGCCGCTGATTGCCCACCTCCTGTCCGAGAAACCACAGCCTCCAGACGTGATGCAACCGCTTCCAGCCTGGATACCACTGCCTGCAAGTTGCTGTCACTCATGTTGCCAGATACAGCAGACGCCTTTAGCACCTGTGAGGTTAAAGCTTTCAGCTGATTGGCTAGCTTATTGATAGAACTTTTAGCTTCCCAGTTGGACTTAGCTTCTGCCTCGCCAATGGCTTTGTCTAATTTGTCGAGCTCAGAATTTACTGATTTTAACTGTTCAATATTTGGCATATTAGATATGAAAGCTTTGGGGTCAACCTTTTTTGGCTCCTTGGAGCCAAAATTTTGTCCTTCTGCAGACAAAGAACTAACAGTTTTACCTGCAGAGACCACCTGGCCACCACTCTGACCCACTGGCTCTGAAGGAACTTTGTTAGAAGATTCGGATTCCTTAACCTTAACTTTAATATCTGACACTTCTACAGCAGCTGACTTCTGCTCTTCTGATTTTCTTGCGGCAGGTCCAGATGTAGGGAGGTCCTTCTGTGTTTCTAGGTGACCTTTGGAAGCAGCGCTACTGGACTGGACTGTTGGTTGCTGGGTGACTGCAGCCTTTGCTTGACTGCCAACAGTGGCTCCACCACCTGAAGCTTGGCTGGGTGTTGAAACAGCTCCGTTCCTCGACTGAGTATTAGCTGGTGTAGTCTTGTTAGGATTCTGGTGTGCTTCTTCAGCAGAATGAGTGTTGGCTTCTTCAGCACAGCAGCAAAACATTACTTTCTGTGTGTTTGGAGCATGATGTCATCAAATAGGTGATCGTCGACTCTTGATGGTCAGGGCAGATCCAAACCTGATACATCATTGAAGCAAATAGTCAAGCTAACAAGACTTCATGAAACTCTCATGCTCATAATAAATAGACATTTAAACTACTGTGATAAGTATACTTCTTGAACCTCTAAATTTTTGTTTTAACAATTATATTAACACTACTGTAACATTAAAAAAAAAAAAGCTTGAAATTTACAAATAGAAAAAAAAAAAGGGAAAAATTAAGGGCCGCAACAGTAAGAAGGTGAAGAAAAAATTTAAAAGTGCTAAACAGAAACTATGCGGGTGTATGTGTCTGAGATCTTGACAATAAACAAACAAGCTGTTAAAAAATGTGTGCAGCTGAGATTGTGGTTTTTGAAAAATCAATGAATAACACAGATAAACAGTGGAATTAAAAAGGAATTACTGAAAAGCTGATGAAAAGTGAATGGAAAAAAACTGACAAAGCAGACATGATATTTTGGTGGCATATTACCAGAAAAGATATCCTTTAACATAGGAGCAAGCGAACTATGTGGAGGCACAAATAGATCAACATATAAACAAAATGCTTCTGGCACCATTAGAACTGGAACTCTTAGATAGCTGCTGAAGATGAGAAGGCAGCGCTTATGGGAATGTCCAGGAAAAGAACACAGACCTGATACAAGACTGAAGGAGAACCACGATCACTAGTGGTGACCAAAATGGTACGAGGTGAAGATCAAGCAACAATGACTTAAAACTACCAAGCTTAATTGTGCTAGTCCAGACATGTTTCAGAACCACTGCTCATGACCCACTGCAGAACCCATGAATAGTTGTAAGCTGCAACATGTATTACATAAATTGTTTCATTTCTAGTGATAAACTATAAAACCCATACCACAAGCACAAGCAGCTCTAGGTATAAATTATACATAATATTTTATACAAAAATATGTGCTGAAATGTCAAAACACATGCAGTCTGAACACAACAAGACATACAAATAACGCATAGCAGCACTATTCAACTGGTGGTCCTCGGGGCAAATCTGGCAAACAACCTGTGGATCCCTGCCAGCTGTACTGTATTAATGATCTTTCTATGCTGCAGCTCAGGCTTTTGGCCTGCCACTATCCACATTTTCAACATGTTGGCCCCTGAGTCAACTCAATTGGACAGCCCTGATGAAGAGGAATACAAGACTAGCTTCCTAATTTTTTTACTGCTTTCAGAAATAATATTCTCTTGCCTCAATCCCAGCCAAAGACACTGATTATGCTGACTGTCACACAGTAGTTTCAATGTGCTACTGCCTAGTAATATAATTAATGTTCCGTCTTATCAGATTTAACTTATGAACATTAAATGAGATTCTCCTTATGTGAGTTCCGAGGCCCTACTGAGGGGAAAACAAATATAGACCCACAGCCTCTCCCCCACAAACATGTCGTAAGAGTTGACTTAGTGGGGACTTACTTCAAAATTAGAGTGATCTGCCTGAGAGGCAAGAAACCAACAGTCTGCATACAGATAAATCTATAAAACAGATGTGCATACAAAATTCAGGTTATGGGACAAGACTAAAGTTCAGAGTAGACAAACAACTAGACCTTCTCGCCAGGGTTTACAGCCGGTGAATGTGAAGAAAAAGAAACAGCATGAATTCAATAAATCTGAGAAATAAAAGCAATGTCCGGACAGCTGAAGCTATCACCAGTTACAGGACAAAGATGATGTGTTATACTGGACACATCCTTGGAAGAAGCGAGCAGATAATCACCAAACAGGTACTGAAACAGGAAACAAATGGATTGAGAAAATAAGGATGTCCAAGAGCAACCCTACAATGAGTGCTGATGACCTGGATTCAATCCATGATACTGAAAAGACTACACAGTATAGGCAGGAATGGAGAAACAGACGGTGACCGCTGTTCAACATATAATAGCTCTAGAAAATTATGGTGATGATGAAGATTGTCAAATTAGTGATGTTTTTCAAGTAAACATTCAAGAGAGTTAAAACATCAATCATGGGCGTTTGGTGAGACATGATTTGATTGCAAAGACACTGTACTTCAAGGAACATTGGAGGGTAGTCGAAGAGGAGGGCAAAGAAGAAACAAACTAGAATGACAACATCAAGAAATGAACAGGACTAAGTTATCATACCAAGAAATGGACAGGACTAAGTTATCATACACTTATTCATCAAGCAGAAGACAAGAGAAACCTGGTGGGTTTTATGTGCTAGTGCCTCCATCAATACACCTCCAGGATCCCAACAGGTCAAGGGTTATGTTATGTTTATGTTAAACACAAATTCATTATCATACTGTTTTATAGTATACAGTCACAATTTAACACTACTCCATATTCTAGCCATAATTTACTGCAAAGTAGTCTAGTCACAGTTGACTACCGTAGAGTAATTTAGTCAATCTTTACTACTGCAGGTAATTTAGTCACATTTAACTACTGTAGAGTAACCCAGCTGCAGTTGACTATTAAACAATCATTTAGCCACTGCTGACTATTGTAATTCGATAATGGTTGACTTCCGTATATTAATTTAGCCGCATCTGACCATTGTAGATATCCTACTCGTAGTTGAAAAAATTTATAATTTATTCCGTTCACTACCGTTGTTTAGTTAGGTTACTTTCCAGTGTATCCTAATAATAGATGATTACTGTAAAATAATTTAGTCACAGCTTACTGTAATCAAACTAGTGCAGAGTAATTTAGTCAGTTCACTAAAAGGTGTAGAGTAATGAAGTCACGGGTGGCTATTAGAGAGTAATTTAGTCAGAGGTGACTACAGCTGAGTAACCAAATCAAAGTTGACTACCATAATTTGTTGAATACTGATTTAGCCAAAGTTGACTTCAGAACAGTATTACCACATTTTCACTTAGTCACAGATGAGAAAACTCTATCAGTAAAGTAATCTAGAACAATTGTTATAGAGTAAACTAAGACATTTATTATTACAGTAATATACAAAAATGTATAGTATAGTAATCAAAGTCAGATACACACTATACTGAGAATAACTGTTATACCAAAACCCAGAACACAGCAATATACTGTAATCTACTCTGGTTTATTAGCAATCTAGCACAATTTAGTCTAGATAGTTATACAGTCCTACAGAACATCTAGTTTATTATAGTTCTCTGGATTAGTGTTTTAATGCTGTAATCTAGGTCTGTTAATTATGAGTAATATAGTCTTATTTTAATAGTATATTATACAGCAATATAGCCATTACAGTAATCTAAGAGAGTGTATTACACAGTAACCTAGGATAGTCATATATGGTAATCTAACATGTTCTTTTGTTATTCAATAGTTTACTATACAGTAATGTAACTATCTTTTGTCTAGTAATCTAAGATAGTTTATTACAGGTAAACTAATTCAGTTTACTATTCAGTAATGTAATAGTTTATTATACGGCAATCTAGGATAGTTTATTACACAGTAATTTAAAAGTTTATCATTCAATAATCCAAGACAGTTTATTACACATTAAACTTAAATGTTAACTGCACAGTAATCAAGTACAATATACAGAAACTGCATGCAAAAATACACGCTATACAAATTCTCGCACTGATAGCTTTAGTATATATGTAAGACTATTGGTGCAAAGCATCAGTCATGCCACTCTGTTTTATTAAGAAACTGGATATGAAATGTCTGCAACAATTTCAAGCATGCAGATGCTAACACAACATACAAGAAAAATCATTGTTTCTGAGGTTAATGAATAACAATGCAGCAACATTGGATCAATGTGCCTTCCAGTGTTCTTCAACCTGTTTACAACCACAGTCCTGGCAAAAGTGGAAACTGTTTCGGGGACCCCCCGACAGCTAACAAATAAATGCCTATATTTCAGGTGCTAAACTGTCATGTACAACGTTTTATTGGCTAGGCAGCAATTTAGTGACAGAACCATGAAGACACTACATGATAAAGTAAACAAAATTTGGAAATCCAACAGAATAATATCTGTGGAGTGAACGGTTGAAGAACACGGTGCTATACAACATTCAGTGAATAAAGGATTACAATGCTAAAAGACTTTGCAATATAAGTGGCATCCCTTGCTGGAAGAAACAAACCATTTATTTCAACAACACAGACATGAAAGAATGTTCACAATAATAAACGTAATCAGAAGTTATCACTTTTACATGCAGGAGTGAGTAACTTAGCTGTACAACAGTTTATACTACACTGGTCCAAGATTTCACCATTTATGTAACCGGTTCTTTTTTGGCGAGAAGTTTCTTCTCTCTCATTTCTGGGATGTATTTTTACATTTAGCTTTATAAGTACTAGTACAAGATGTTCTAGAGTGGTTTATGGGGCCCAATTTTGCTGGATGGGTGAGGGGTGTGTGCCAAAGGTACAGATATCGCAGTGTGGCTGTAAGTAAATAAGAACAGACTGCTCCAACAGCTCTTGTAAGGACTACAAAACAAAAGCAATTTTTGAGAATACAAGTTTTAGAACCTCAACGTTATATCCTAACACTAACACACCTAGGGCAATATTTGCCTACAATTTGTTTTACCTTCAATGACAATAGTTATCTTTCATCCAAATGGACTGTGACAGAACAGCTAGGGTGTAGGTGACCTCTGAATCATTATGGATATCCAGGATTTGTTCCCTGCATTACTAGCCCAATCTTTTATCCCACAAAGCAAAAATAATATGTGTAACTGGCAGAATAAAGCCAATTTTCAAAAGAGCCAAGCCTGGAATAGAACAATTGGCCAGGGTTTTCCCCACGTGTGTGTTTGCCCTTAATTCTTTCTGTCCCAAATAACACACAATGTCTATGTGCATCAATGCAACACATTGTGTTCTGTTATTCATTGCATATGTGATCTGGGTATACAAAATAAATCTGGCCTAATATTTTAAATGCAGCAAGTATCTGTCTTTAAAAGACAT